TCAATCAATAAATTAATACAAACAGATAACCAGCCGAAATAAAGAAGGAGTCTTTTTTTGGCGGAGGAGTAATATGGGTACTGCGAAGAAAGACCACTTTTTCGGGAGTCCCCGTGCTTCTCGCGGGGGATGGCCAAGAAAACTTTCCTCTCCCGCTTTCAACCCTAACGCCCAGGAATCAATCAATTCAGCAAACATGATATGAACCTGTCCAGTGAACGAACCATCTCCATGCACTTGAACACACAGTGCTCCATCACCACTTTGCCCGTCTGACTGAGCATAATCACCTCTTCTTTTGGTTAACATCCTGGCTCGAGTTCGTCCCATCGCCACCGGATTCACTGCTTCCAGATGTGACGGATTCGGCATCATTGTTATATGCACCTCACCATTCGATGTCTTATGATCTATTGATGATGCTGAAATCGCTATTCGATAAGCACATTGTTATTGCACGCTCACACCATCTTGTCTCAAAGCATTTTGAGTTCACTGCAAAACTGATTAACTGCTTCCCAAAAAGAAGTAGAACTAACTGAAATGCGATAGAACATCACCGACACCTTGCACATCTTCCGGAAACTCCAGTTTACCGCGAATCTGCAGTTATAAATCTCGCATTCAGTCAAAACTCTCGAAGAACACTTTCACTCGAAACCCTCAGTAAAGAGTGACAGGTTGAAATGAGTCGAATAAAAAAAATGAACCTTTCGGAACAGTTGAACAGTGGGGAATTGCATCATTTCACAGANGCACCTTCTCCACCGTATCGTTTCACTGTCGGGAATTTCAACGACATGAATCTATCGAAGTTCTTAAATTGTATTTCTTTCATCATCAATTTCCATCAGGTGCATTCAAGCTACAGTTGGATTAGTACTCATCATCAGAATTGCTTGCTGTTGAGCGAAACTCGAAATTCGCCTTACGCTTATCGTTAGACTGTTCGGTTGATGACCATCGAAAAAAAAGTGTCCGTCGGCAACGCTAACAGACTTAATACGAGAGGCAGTATTCAACTCAAATGTTAATGTTTCGAAGTACAGTAACAATGATATTGGAACTAAGTGTGGTGTGATGCTTTCATAAGGTGCGTACGTATCGTCGTCAATCGCTAGATGACGAACCTGACTCCTCAGCATCAGTTCAGCATATCGTCGTTTCTCGTCCGCCTTTATCTCCACCCTGTGCATATCCTCGAATCTCTGTGCAAACCACGTTCTTTCTTCCCAATCCTGCTCAATTTCTTGCCGATTTGTATCATTGAAAAGATAATTTTCACACAGCAAATGAGCCAGTCTCATTAGGGAATCACCTTTATATGCATGAATTCAGTGGCAATGTTTCCGCAGTAAATGGCGCTGAGTTTATCGATAAGATCAGCAACGCGTATCGATATACCAACATCTCGCAGCACACTCTCTGGATTTAATCCGTACAATTCTGGCTTCAATTCATGCACTCTACAACTTTTTACGTAGCATCATATTTAAGTATTGATAGAAATCACTATTATTATCACATCACATATTAATTACATATGAAATGTGCATAGCAATCATTACACAGGTGGTCGCTTCAGATGAAGAGGATCTAGATCGGCAACGCGATAGCCATATCGACGAAATGCGTTGATCAGGTGTAATCGACGACTATCATCGAGCGTGTCCAGTGGTGGGAATTCTGAAACTAATTCCGAGCCATTCGAACGCACTTCCGTCCTGACAACAACCCAATCAGCCTTGTTCCCCCCCATCTCACATTGCCGTCAGCTCGCTCCAAGCTTATATTCGACACATCCCCGTCCTCCTCATCTTCTATGAGATTCTCGCACCATCTCACCAATTAACGCAAATCAATGATCTCAATAACGCTTCAACGATGCGAGCGATCTGATTAAATACTAGGCAGAAACACATGAAATTTTTTCAGTGATTGAAGAAGTTGAGCGATTACAATTGGTAAAAGCTGACATACGGGGTGGTTCTACAGCTGTGCTTTCATGAGGTTTGTAACCAAAC